ACAGTCATATTTTTGAAGTGGTATTCTAAAAAGATCATAGGTTTCATGTTTCAATGAAAAAAGAATTTGAAGGGAAAAAATATTTCTTACAATGAATTTTACATTTCATAATTTTGTTGCAATATTAATAATCAGTAAAAATGGCATCATCAATAGAGAAAAATTAAAAAAATATTTCTGACAATGTGCTTTTTTTACATTTTATAATTTTGTTGTAATATAATCAGTAAAAATGGCATCATCAATAGTTTATTTTATTAATTTTATATTTTACACACAAAAAAACGTCACATTTTTTTCTGAATAGTTTATTTTATTTACATGTATTTTATATGTTACACACAAAAAAACGTCAATTTTTTCTGGAAAATCAGTCAATGATATTCAAAATACTGTCTGTTTAGAGCTAGTTCAAATGTATTTGTCAGTAGTTGTACACTGCGTGGGAAAAATCTTAATTTCATATTACACCCCCAACATCAAAATTTAATGATAAACATAATTTACCACAGGCCCTAAGTATCTCTTAATCAAAGTTTTCAGATTCTGCTATAGAAGAATGACAATGTATTACTGTCTGTATTAAACAGATTTGTGCAATGTTATATGGACTATGGAGCACGTCGGCAGAACGTACTGCACCTGCGCAAAACCCGTAATGTATTGTACTTAGCATTTCGGCAGAATGTCTCATATAAGGTTGTATTCGCTCATATAAGGTTAGCATTTCGACGTTAGTTTCCAAATGTTGGGTCGGAAAGAATATCCTCTGCAACAGGCAAAATTCTGATGCAACGTTGACCAAAAATCCAACGAAAAAAGCGAAAATGCGTGGTTCTGCGCAGGCGCAGTACGTACTGCCGACTATGGCAGTTTATTCTTATGCCACTCGAGTTCCTGGTAAGTATATAGCCATGACATTGTCAGATAACAGAGTTATTTTCAGCCAATATTTATGCGGCATTGCCTCAGCTCTCTATCTGATTCCCTGGTATGAATATTTTGTGCACAAATCTTGATAAAAAGTGACAGAGGTCATAACAAACAAGAGCATCTCTATATAACCACACCAGAGTTTTATTAGATTCAGAATATAGCATTAATTTCTTTAAAGATATATATTTTGCCATTTTAAAAAAATTATGTTTTTTTCTGTGGAATGAATATTTTCATTCAGCATTTACTGAGGCCACATCAATTTAATTTGTTGGTTCTCGGATTTTTTCAGAAAAAATATGAAGCGACAGGGCGAAAAAAAATAAAAATAAAAACAGGTCTAGGCATCCTATTATAGCCCCAAATGCTACAATATGAGACATGAAGTCAACAAAAAAGGCTGGGTTAAAATTTAAAGTATAAATTTTGAACTTTTAATCAAACTACTGCATTGATAGATGGAAAAAACTGTAACAACTATGAAGAAAAGGAATTTCCTGAACTGTTGGGGGCAAAATATGAGCATTTTTGAGTTGATTCAGAACCAGATAGAATCTTTTTCTTTTTTTTTTTTGCAAATCAGAAATGAAGAGGCGAATCCGAGAACCAACAAATTAAATTGGTATGGCCTGATTATGTAAATCTTGTAAGATACATTAATTTGTTGCGGATGGAGATATAGAGAGAAATTTCCTCATTTCGAATCCACGTTCTGAGTGGAAGAAAAATTCACGTGTGGGTCTAGAAAATATTTGCTGCCTGGGCTCAAAATATATGCATTGTGCACCTTATTGCACCCAAATTTGGAGCTGTGCACCCACCAATTCGTAGGTTTACGTAATGCAAAATTGTTAAATGTACATGTATATAGTAGTATACAGCATATTGTTAATGATATAAGTGTCAGAAAAATTATAAAATCAGTTATAGTACTGTTCTTTAGAAATGAAACATAATTAGTTTTTCCTGACATTCTACTTACTTAATAGTAAATGGAGCACCCCCAAAAAATTTTTGTGTACCAAATTTTGTAGGTTGGGTGCACCAATGCACCTACATGTATTCCCAAAAGCGAATGCTGAGCCCTGACTGCCCTGCATTAGGTGTCAGCTGTATGTATGTCTTGTCCCTTTCATCTGTCAATCATTCGACAGGGTACAGCCTCTACTGATGAGGTCACTAGCTGAAGGTCACCCTCCCTCAGGCATGATGGTCTGATTTTCAGGAATATCAAATACCTTTTTTTTCTGGCCTGACACTACTTTTCTGGCCTCGGGTCTATGATATACAAATGTAGTTTGAGGCAAAACAGAATACTAAGTCTTACTGCTTTTCAAGTTACATGTACAGGTATATGTATGCCAGTGTGTTTCGCCGAAGGGCGGTTATACCGGCTATACAAATACAGATACAGATATGTAAAAAATGCGGCAGAATAAGTATTTACTTTGTAATACTACTACTACTACTACAATTTTTGTTAAGGCCTAAGAGTGCAGTCGCAACATCATGTTCAAGAAAGCTCATCTTTCATAGCTGGAAGCTTAATACTAAAATTGATTGAGAGAAAGGGATCACATTCATTGCAGTCTATGAAACTACAATGTATAAAATAACAATGTCATGAATTAGGAGACAAGAATTGCTTGTATGAACAGTTTTTACTGTTAAAATCTAGTTGTTTGTTTCGCATATTAACCGGTTTTAGGCGTAATGCACCAGTTTTGTACATGTAAGTAAAAGTTGCGTAAGACCTGACTGTAACGTTTGAACCACTCACACCGGGAAGGACCCTTACTCTTTTCGATAAGTGCGGTGGGTTTTTTAACGTGCGTGGGGTGTGGCTCCCCCCAAATTTAAACACGGGACCTCCATTTAACGTCCTATCTGAGGGACGTCCCTATTAAACTGAAGCTACTAGTAGTAGGTACTCATTTCCACCTGAGTGAAGTGAGGAAAGTCGTGTGTAGTGCTTTCCCAAGGGTACAAGACTGGTGACATGGTAGGATTCGAACCCGCGACCTCTTTGTCCTGAGTCGAACATGCCTCCATTCCACACGACCCCACAGTAAAATGCTATAGTGTAGATATGGAGGCCACACGACCCCACAGTAAAATGCTATAGTGTAGATGTTCATGATCATACACCGGGGCTCGAAATACTGGGTGCATGTGCACCTTAGTTCACCCAAATTTGGAGCTGTGCACCCAATTTTTTATGTGGGTGCACCACTGCTGCACCCAAATATTTTCGTAGGTGTACGTATTGTAGTATACAGCATATTCTTACAATCAAAGTGTTAGAAAAATAATGAAATCATTGTTATAACACTTTCTTATGAAATAAAACATAATTAGGCCACACCAATTTAATTTGTTGGTTCTCGGATTCGCCTCTTCGTTTTTTCTGATTTGCAAAAAAAAAAAAATAAAAATTAGTAT